TTTTTTTTTTTTTTTTTTTGGAAACTATCTGCAAGAAACCTCCTGTTTCTTTTGGACTCATTCTTTTAATGAAAATGTGGTTGTTCAAGTCTCTTATCATTACTGAGACTTGTTCCCCACTGATGTATGTTCTTCATCAAAACCAACAGGCTAGTGTAGTATATCGGATATATGTTTTACTGGTAAAATGTCTAACAGCTTTTTATTTATGCACTGTATGAAAGTGCCATGGCCACCATGGATTATCAGTTTTGCATTAAATACATTGTACACTTTATTTTGTTTGGAAGGATTGTTTTTACTTTGTTCTTAGCTTTAAATAAAGCATTGTTTTGATTCATGCTGTTATGCAAACCATGATTTGAAGGGGGACAATTTTTTGTCTATGAATCTAGCTGTCTTAGAGGGGGAAATGAATGGGGTGGGACAGTCTGCGCTACTGGAAATGACCAGCTAGTTCCAAGTGGTCATGATCTAATGGGTTTTTTTTTTCCTGGCCTCTCTACAGGCCATTACCAGGTGGTCTCACCTCTGCCTTCAGCACAATCTCTAACAGGACTCTGGGAGTCAGAGCTGTCATTCCAGTGCCTCTCCCTCAACTGAAACTTGCGTTCACAAGTCTGAACAAGAATGTTTTCAAAAGGGAAGATGCCTGTGTTGCTCAGGCTCCAAGAAGCTTGTATTCATAGGCAAGCTCCCCTCTCTTAGTCTGCCACCAAACAAATGTCTATATTTGCATCCTCCCTGCTTTATCTACCTCTGATTCAGAAGGAGATTGCTTTGCTGAAGAAGTGCACAGTAGCTTAAAGAGACTTTTTTTTAAATTTGGAAATCAGCTGCTTATGAAGGAAACACATCAATCATTCAGGTGTAATGGAGTCTGACATGCAGGCACCAGCCCTGTATGAACTGGCATCAGCTGGGGGAATACTGCTCCTGCAGCCCCACCTACATTCAGGCTGGGGCAGGTGTAGCTACATTGATGTAACTGCACTCATGCAAGTTCCCAATGCTGATGCAGTAGGCTGATACGACAGAATAAATTATATAGCAGGACTACTGTTTCCTTCATGAAATTGGGTGCTTAAAAGGAACTTACCTTGGACTACAGAGAAACAAATGCTCTGCTTATGTGATGTGGGCACAAGAGTTGCTATATAACGTTGAGCTGCTTTCTCAGTTAAGGTGAGTGCCACGTTTGGACAGCACCTAGCACAGTGCAGTCCCAGCCAGGAACTGAGGTTTCTCAGCACTAGCGAAATGCAAATGGTGCATATTCGTCCTGAAAAGAACAGAGATACAAGCTTTGTAAAACAGGCTGGAAGATGCCACTCAGCACAGAAAGAGTTATGGGACCAGCAGATATCTGTTGCCTGCTCTCCCTTTAGGGAGAGAGAGAACCTGATGTGGGTAAAGGAAACTCTCACCCCTCACTGACAGGAACACACAGTGAATCAGAAAGGAAAGCAAGGTTGGACTACCAGCACCAAAACCACCTCATCCATAGTTTAGCTAGGTGCCTGCCTCGGGGCTGTGGAAAACATGCTTCCCCACCAGATTTTACTCCAGGAAAGAAGAGGCCACTGTCTTTAGAGGTGCTCCTTCCAACAGAAAAAGCTAAATCCACCAGTCCTAGCAGTTACAAGACAGGAGAAGCATTTGGTTCATCTCAATTTACTGCAAATGAGAAGACCAGATATAGGACAGGAGAAACTTTCTCCTGAGGTGCAGGGAGCCTTTACTTGACACAGCTCCTGCAGCTACTGCCTGAAAGTTGCTCCTTACACAGGCCTCTCTTCAGGGCCACTGAGAGGCCAAAAATGGGCAGCTAGACTTTCAAAATCACAAGAGATTAAAGAGCAATTTACAAGAGCTTAGCCTGGGAGCTGCTGGCTTTAGAGCACTGTCCTGTCGTGACATGGTCCGAAGGGAGCTGAACTCTTGACAAAGCTGCCCCACCGAAGGAACAACTGTGCGTGAACTGCAGTAACTCATTGCTGCCCTTTTCCCCATTTCCCCTGTTTCTTCAAAGGCAAAAACATGTTAAGAAACCTTAATCTTAGTAGCAGGGACCAGAGTTTGCATTGAGCTCCTATTAACTAAATCTGTTAGTTGGAACAACACCCTAAGAATTCAGGATCCTGGCTGGCAAGTGCTCTCAGCAATAGGTTAAATGGACGGCACTTTTTCTGTGTGTTTAGCACTCCTTGCTAGTAGAACAGGGGGAAAGTGGCCAGGTGCAGACAGCTCTGCACTATTCCAATCCCTAGCGTTCTCTGCAGCTCTTTGCTGAAACCCGTGGAGGGGCCCAGGCTGCAAACAACAGGAGCAGGAGCAGAATACAAAGACAGCTTTGTGCACTCACCTACTCAGCCCTGCATCCAGAGCTGACAGTGACGTGTGCTTCCCATCTTGTGAATACTTTGGCACTGCCGACGCACCCTATGGCGCCACCAGGAATTGCCTCTTGTACCGATCCTGAAGCAGCCAGTGCCCTGCATTAGAGACAATTCACATGGTAACTCACAAAATAAGCCATCCTGGGAAATAAAGGCACACTTTCTAGTCACATAAACAATAGTCAGTTAACATTTACATACCACTTTTATGTGAACAAGGAAAACTTGAAATTGGTTAGCTCAGCAATATGCTGACTCCCCTGCCTACCACGCTAACCACTGATCCCTCGGTTCTTTGAGCTCCCATCAGTCTGTAGCTATAGCCTGTCTTGTCTTTTACTTGGATCTATATATCTAAGACAGGGGCCATCTTTCAGTCCTATGCACTCATTGTGGACTCATTGTCCTATGCGCTGGTCCATTACTAGTGTTAGTAGATGCTGTGGTAATAGAAAACAACAGATGTCTTAATCAGTGGCCTGTTGTTGTTTCAGCATAATGGGAAAGATGCTACTAATTTAACATAACCATGGCTGATGCATACTGGAAGAG